AAAGCTGGGAAGAGCTGAATATTCTTCACCGTTCCCATAGCCGACCATCTTCACCGGTAAATAAGAGCGGTTAGCGAGCTAGCGATGTCGAAAGTACACGTCGTGCGTCCTCGTGCAATAATTCTTGCAGCAACTGGTTTGAGACTGATCGTGCAAATATCCTAATCTCGTCCTTTCGCCAACATATCCAGTAGTATAACTAACGCCTGGACATGAAGCACTGGAAGGCACTCTGCTGGCATCATGAAAATCATTACCTGCCACGCTTTCCAGGCTAAATTTACTTTCTGTCATTTCTGACCGAGTTTTACACATGTAGCAATAAAACGGAAATCGAATTTTCTATGAGATTTTCCCATGTTCACCTGAAATATGATCGATCTGCAGGTAACTTCAAACACACTCAACTTTTGGCTGGTAGCAATCTTGATGAGAGCATGTACTTCATCGTTTACCAGTTGGCGGTGAGTTTTATGAGTACTCCACTATACAATCTCGAAGAGTTTTCCTTGTTTTGATGAGTGAGTCTGTTACAGGATATCTTTCCGGTTAAAAACTTTTTCACAAGAAGAAACTTCGTGCCGGACCGACAAACATGGCTGAAAGGCATCTTGGATCTGCTGCCACGACAGATGACTAAGAACTACCCGGCTTTGGCAGCGATACTGCATGAGTATGAGCCAACAAAGCGACCAGGTATTCTTTTTTGTTACCTATCGACAATGGTGGCATGGCCTGGTTGGACGGATATAGTTTCCATCTGAGTAGCGGAATGATTCCAGCATTGCAGAGCATTTTTCGATCAGTAGCATGTCCTATACACGGTCGGTGTTCTATACAGGTTTAATGGCTTCTGCTCCTGGAGCACAGTCACCTTTGATCGTTCGAAGCCTTCAGTGGGCGTCTTCTTATGTTGACTTTGCTCATGGCTTGGCCACCGATTTGCAACGGGAACCTTGATGGAAACAAAAGTGGTTTGCTGGTCATGTGTGTCGTTAAGATTAAGCCAAATTTGCTCGTTTCACTGGACAACGTAGTAGCTGGAGGATCATACTTGCTACAGTAACAGCTGCTATTGACGCCTGCTTGACGCCTGCTTGCTTTTACAACACCAGTTTTCTCCACACTGATCGTCGTGATTGGGTTTTGGTATATTCCAGCCAGTCCTTTAGTGTATGGCCGAAGAGGTCCGGACACTCCAGCTATCTAGAGAAAGCACGTGGTAAATGAAAGGATAAAGGATAAAAACATCTGCCGTTGATCAATCCCTTTTCGGGATGCGACATGCATTCTGCTTCCTTTGTACTACATTCCTAGTGGCGTTGATGTAGACCCTACCACATTACTTGCGAGGCGAGCCCGATTTAAAAGTCAGTGTTTTTACTCCAACAATTCTGGCCCACGACTCCCCGAGGGATGAAAGGATGGTTGCCAGCGCGACTCAACACCCGGTTGTTCCTCAAACGCGCTGACGGCATAGCGGCCATTGGCCAACTACACTCACTCCGCGTTGCACCTAAAATTACCACCCGCATAAATCTTTCATTGAGCGTTTTAACAGAAACTACACGAATTCGGTAAGAAAAGGGTTTTTAAAGGGTCCGTGGGCCGAACTGCGTGAATATCTCTTCTTACCCTCCTTCTTCGATCTTGACATTGTTCGGCGAGGATCCGTTTAAGGAGAAAATCCATTTTCGGATTGAACTTGGCTCATTTTGGAAAATTAGCAGTCGGGACTGCAACCTCGCACTGAAAGCATAATAGAATCGAATTCTACTCAAACAAGCGAAGCTTCTGTCATTCACACCTGACACGTAACCTTAAGGGCAACGTACCATCTCCCCGAACCGCCCCCTCCCCCAGTTCCCTCCCTGGGCTGGATACGGGTTTCCGTCGATAAGATTTGCTATAACGGTTTTCCCGGGGTCCTGTGCCATCTCTCGCGGCAGCATATTTACGCTCTAAACGGGGGAATGACTGAACCTACGCGAGCAGCGGCTCTCATGTGTCGTATGACGTTGCCCTACCGCTACGCTACTCCAGCTTGAGAAGCCGCGTACGCCGGATTAGTTCCCGGATCAGGTGGGCGCGGTGCCCGACGGTGATATCTGTGATATAAAGCGCAAGGAAAAACATACGGTTGACTGGATGGTACAGCACACAAGTCGGGCACGTCGCACTGGCGCTATCATACAACTAGATCGGCGCACAACAATATCTAACAGAAACAATTACTCCATATTTACAAGTCTTAATCCTACAGAACGAGTCTGCCCCTCTCTCAGATGTCCTGCCACTATTACACATACGCGCCTACGGCGGACCCACGATCCAAACGCTGGTAACACATGTCGAATACATATCCCCAAAGGCGACACAGTTGCGCCCGACCCGCAATTGCAGCGTACCCTAAGCAGTACTCCTATGGTCGCCTTCCTCGTAGTCGTCCGTACCTGAGGCTATCCTCTCAATAGTCTTCCATCACAGAGGCGATCGTGACGACGATGCCTCGGCTGGGAGCGGGTCACCGCCGAACAGCCCCTAGAGACGCGCCTTCCTGTCGTAAACAGGACGAGCGCAGATACCAAGTGTGCACCGCACCGGACAACTCTCGCGTACCGAAACTATCCGTTGAGTGCACAGGAGCTCGGTCTGCCGATGATTCGACTGTGTCTTTCTACTACGCATATATACGAGACTTTACGCGAAGTATATAGCAACGCCACAATTAACGAATGTGCACTGATAATGCGACCAACATACCTTAACCGCAAACACATTTATTCATTTGTCGTGGTTTTTATGTTCAATCAACGATGAAGTTGGATTCATGAGAACATCTTGGCGACTACACTCTTAACTTGCAATGTGAACGAATGGCTCGGCCAACCGAACATGGTGGAACCGTAATAACATACTTCACGCACAGTGCGAAATCGAAAAATTTCGCGGTTGTGCTCTTGCAATTTTTTTTTCTGCTCGACGATGACACTTGTCAGCAACAGCGCACAAACTTGCCAGAATGGATGGCCTACAGGTTATGAGATAATTTGTTTTGGACTTCATAAAAAAGTCAACTATTCCACGAAAGAGGCCAGGAGCTGAGGAAAACATAACAAATAAAAAACACGACAACCATCGCCGATCATGCGCTACCTGAGCGCATTTCGCAAACCTGGTGATGTCCTGAAAGGTATACCAGAACTCTTGAAGACGAATCATTTGGCCTGAAACTTTCTCATAACGCGTACCTCACACCTGCGAGACATAATACTTGATAGAGCCTGGTCAGCTACATGTGTCCCATCCTTTTGGTGACGCGAATAACTATTTACCGTTAACGATGGCTTCGAAGTTATCATTGATGTTAATTCCACATGCAGTGCAATGATCAAGTTTCTTCCAGTGATCCAAATAAAAACGAGGATGGTACGTATACAACGGATGTTTGGCCCAAGTATAATGGTGAATCTATGGAATACATGAACATGACTGTTGAATCGGCGTATCCAACTTCACAAAGAACTGGTCATGGTCCACGACGGGAACAGTGCGCATTTTGGAAGTCATACCTGCCAAATCTGATGGCGAAAAGTGAGTGAATTGTTTGACAATTATACTCCAGATCACAAGAAATTCGTTGAATGGATGTGATTTATCAATGCGCCAGGCATTGTTCGGGTTAAATGCTTCTTCGAAGCTTTTGGTTAAGTAAACAGTAATAACATATCATGACATAAGTAGTAGGAGGAAGAGGTAGCTGTGATACAGCGAAGTAGTGCGGCTCTTATGCGCAACATTGCCTAGTTATATTTTTGTTAGGTTTAATGAATTGTTAAACGCAATGGTAGATTAATTCCTCGTTTGCTAGTGAAAGCCATATTTTAGTAGTCGCTGGTTCAGGCTCTTGTGGCGCAATTGTGCTCAATCCACTGTCCACCCTAGAGGGAGTTCACGATGAAAAGACTAGACAGAGGTGGTCAGTGATGCAGGGGTAAAGGAAACCAGAACCCAGAAAAAGCACCCCTTCTCCGCCGATGCACGCGTTAGACGTTTCTCATCTATGCTGACCTTATCAGCGCGAACGCTCATCCGCTTAACGGCTTGAACCGGACGGAGAGGGGTTGCCTGTCTTTGGACGTGGTGCAGTGCTAGCGGCGCGGGTAAGGTACTGTAATACCGCTGAGGCATACCTTTTACTGCGAAACACACACGTCCTGCACCGAGGCCCGCCTGCATTTCCTCTAGTTACATCTCCCTCTCTCCGATCTCCGATCTTGTCCTAGAATTTTTCCTATTGATTGCTTAAGGGACCACGAAAGAAGGCCATGATGGGAACTTTTTTGAGAAATGCGGTTCCATAATTATTACACAGATAGCAAGTGTTAGTCTCCAATAAGGAGTTCCCACTGACTATTTCTTGAGATAATCGCGAGGCACATTTCAAACAATCGCCAATTAAACATGTTCCCTCAAGGGCTATGCTACACGTTTTTGAAATCACTAGGCAGAATTTCCTCGAAACTTCTGTGACACCCTAATACATACTAATGATATCGTCTTACACTTCCACACCCTACTTCACATTGCAGCGAATCCATTACCACGTACACCTTTCAAATCTGTAAGCGACTAAGGTGAATTTTTCAGCCAACGTCAGAGATTGGAAACAGTAAATGGACGAATGGCAAGAATCACTCTCAGGATGAGTGACTAATAATTATTCTTAATTTTACACTATGCATCTTTTTTCTTGGGATTGGAATCTTCTTAAGGATCACACAGATGTATGGTTTCTATGATACCATTCCTTCATGTGTTTTGGCTCATGATTGTGATCACTTCTTACTTGTGCTCTCTTCTTTCTCCCATCAGAACGGCTAGATGAGTTAGTCCCCGCTCAATTCTTCATTGTTGCCAATTTTGATGCACACTACAAATGTATTATATATTTCCGAAACATGGTTTCGAATAAATCAGTATATGATGCATTATGATGCATTCCTTACGGATTCATCTTGCCTAAACCGCAATAGCTGTGAAAAATTGATGATGAAAACAGTTCTTAAGGAGATATATTTCGAGAAGTTTTCGGTAGCTTTCGTTCAAAAAGAATTTGTGGACATGGAAGCCTCGACAGGGTTAGGCATAAATATGGTAACAAAGTAATAAGGTCCTAGCTTGAACCAGAAAGGTCGGGACGACATATCATGACAACGTCCGTTTTTTCGAACTATTTTGACATTGCTCTCCCAGTATGGCAGTCCATGAAATTGTAAATTCCCTTTAGACGAACTTCACGGTAATTTGGCCTTGCCCGCATGACACACTGCAAAATTTCATTCATTATCTTCCGAAAGCACCTTTCGGCGGTCGATCCAAACTTGGTTGCTTCGTGCACTCCTTCGATTTTGATTTCGATCACAATTAAAGGAAGTGGTCACGGAAATTCCTATGGAGACGATAGGGAAAGTGACATAGTGGATTGGGTAGGGGTCCTACCCAATGGGACGACAGGTGACGCTTCAGGGCAGTGGCGCCTTATCAACGGCGTGATAAGGCGCCGAAACCCACTTCCGGTTCGGCGTTGCACCTCCTTATCAGACGTGGAAGGGGATGCAATAGCAGCGTGCTAGATATGATACGGTTATCGTTATCGTTCGATTTTCATGCTGAGTGCACCTCATTCCAAGCAGCCGTATCTTCTTATCTAATCTTATCGTATCTTCCATAGGGTTACGCTCGTCCAACCACTATCTATCTCCGACCTTATCGGTTGATAACGCGGAGTTCGGCGATCCACGTGGAAGCCAGCGTGATCGCTTCCTTTAATAATTCACTGCATACAGATTAGAGGTTTTAATTAGCCAATCCCAGTGGTCAAGTGACTGAGGCCAATCCCAAGTGGGTCAAGAGACTCTGCATCAGACTTCAACATAATTCGATCCGCGAGTCAACACTGGGGTCAAGCGTGCGTTGAGGAATCCTCGACACGTCGAGGAGGGGGTCGTATTTGGCCCGCTGGGAGGAAGGGTTGGACCGAATTGATGCAGTAGGATCATCAATGTCGGAGGACAAACATCAAGGAGTGATCGATGTTGTGCAAGCTTGGCCAGAGGGTTTCCAGTAACAATATTATTCCACTCGTTGTTCAAGGGGGTCCGCGTAGTAATTCTAAGCTACCCCCCTGATTTATTACGACAAGGTTGCATTATCCAAACGTTTTCCGACGGATATTTTATCTTTCAAATGAGTCCACCAATATGAAGGGATGTGAAGCACACGGCGCATCCCAGAGTGGGCCCAGTTCAGTTGCGCGCGCTTCAGCTACGGCTCTCTGAGAAGAATCTCAATTCAGGAAAAATCAAGAGGATTCTGAAAGGAGGCCGTGTAAAATTACAGGGAGGAATCCACTATTCAAGAAGAAATGCAGTTTCAGCGTCAAATTCTATAAACATATAACCGTAAAAGTTGGAACTTAGTCAATTATTGGAAAGAAAAAAGCATGTTGGTTCCGAATTTTACCTCATTTTGGGTGAAACTCCAGTTCGGGGAGAGGGGTCTTCTATTGTGCTCTCCGGTACTAAGGATAAGGTAAGAGTTTTCATGACACGTAATCGATTCATTTAAAATTATTTCTGATAAGGACCGGTGTAGTGTGGAAGTACTCCTGAGGTGCTTTCAGATTTCGGCCTGCTGTGGTCCAAGGAAATGGTCCTGAACTAGGATATGGACATCATCCACAAGGGTGTAGGAGCCCGGGTGGACGATCATACACATAATTGCCTAGGATGTGAGCAGTATGTGCGCATGATTTAGGGCATACACCGGTCCTTACCAAGAGAGCACTTGAAATGAGTCCTTAACCTATTATATCATCCGCTAAGAAGCGGCATTGCGGTGCACTGTCTGGTCCAATTCCAATTTGGTTTCAGGAAGTTCTTGAGTACAGTAGCAGTAAGTAAGTACAAGCTGTTAATAAAGTCAAGCAATTTTGCCAGGTTGATCAATCCCTTTGTTGGGATGCGGCACGCATTCTATTAGGGTGTCCCAAAAGTTTTGAGAAAATTTATTTGGTTTATTCAACACAAAAATACTACAACAAAAAGGTGAGATCAGTAATCGAGATAGTGGCCCTCTTTAGCCACGACGTCCCTCCATCGATTGGGCAGAGCACTGATGCCATTCATCCAGAAAGAAGAAGGGCGTGAAGCGATCCATTCATCCACTGCATGCTTGACCTCCTGACGGTTGTTGAATTTTTTCCCTTTCGTGTAGGCCTCCAGGCTTCTGAAAGCATGGTAATCACAAGGACTAAGATCAGGTGAATATGGAGGGTGGGGTAGCCAGGTGATCCCAAGTCTTTCCAGCTCCTCCGTCGTCGTCCTCGCATGGTGTGGTCGAGCATTGTCCATCACAATTACAAACTTTCCTTGTAGTCGGTGTGAACTGGGGGCTCGAGACACCATCTCTCGCAGTTGCTCACAGAATACTCTTGCCGTCACCGCAGTACCCTCAGGTAAGATCTCGTAGTATATGCAGCCGGTGGAGCAGAAGAAGAATGATATCATCTCCTTTTTGGCGTGGGCACCACGCTTTGGTACGGGTTGAGGCTTCACGTCCACTGGTAGCCACTGCAATTTCCTGTGTGGATTTTCATAAGATATCCACTTTTCATCCTGAGCGATAATGAAGTCCGTCCAGGTCGTCCTTCGTTTACGGTTGAGAAGTTTCTGGCAGACATCGACTCGCACTCGACGCTCGTGTTCAGTAAGGGAGTGGGGGATAACTCCAGGGAGCGCTGCACGAAGGCGACTTCGGCGCAGAATCCTGTGGATAGTGGAACGAGAAGTAGCAGTCGTCCTTTCCATTTCCCTCAGGCTTTGAGAAGGATTGCTGTTCTGTTTTGACGATCTACCAAGAGTGCCCTTTTCCTGCCCTTTTTCCGTGGCTCTGCTTCGGCGCTTTCTTGCGCAACATGGTTGCGAAATTCATGACCAAAATTTTCTCAAAACTTTTGGGACACCCTAATACTTCCATTTGTACATTCGTAGTGGCGTTTGAATGCGATGTGGCCTATACAATGACTTGCGGGGGCCAGCCGATGTTCAAGTCAGTGTTTTTATCCTCCCAGACAAGTCTGGTACCAATTAACCGACCCCGGAGGGATGGCTTGGTTGGCCCGGGCGACTCACGACCCAGGATTTGATCCCGGACCGCTCGCGTGGTAAGCGTGCCACTTGCCACTACACCACTTCCGCCCTTATCTGTTACAAGCTTTAATTACTATGTTATTTCTTCAGGTGTTTTGTGTAATGTATGTATTCTTGTACTAGATGACATTAACGTCTACGAAAAGTAATATTCACCTAGTCAGCAGGTCAGGACTAAGCCTAGGAGCAGGGAGGAAGACCCCGGGAAAACGAAGATTGCTCATAGACCGAGAGCTCCCTCCTTTCTACGGCTTAGTCCTGAACGTTTACAAAAAGCATATGCTTCCCGTGGTTTTAAATGCTCTAAATCGTATGTCCCTTACCGGGTGAGAACCTATTTCGTTACCCATAGTTTTGAAGCCTCAAAGGAGTGCTCTCTATTACTTCGGACAAGATAACAGGAGGTGGTCCCCCGAACTAGAGTTTCACTCACTCATTTTTGTACAAAATTCGTGGAAGGAACATATAGTCGTTAGGAGGAGTGCCAATGTAACGGAGGAGAACCACCTGACGATACACAGGCCAAAATCCTCAACGGGACCATTTTCGAAGTTTGCACCTTTTTTTAAACTACTGAGCAGGAAACCTTCGCAACATACTCGAAACAGATGTTTATTCTGGGCGTTTTCTTCGTAGAGTCCCACCGTCACAGTCCCTACTTAATAACCCAATGTAATTCTTTACTTTGTTTGCTCAGCTGTCACGGAATTCGGTATTAATCGAAAACCACCAGGAGAGCTTACGGTCAAGTTTGGAGTGAGTGGAACATGGGCCATTAAGTATGTACGAAACACGCATCACCCTAACGGGGTCCGCTTACAATGGGCGGGGCATCCGTCAAAATGGGCGGTGCTGAAAGCAAAAATGTCTACTTCGCTCCCAGTACAGCAAGACCGGGAAAAAATGTTAAAGACGAGCAAAGGCTAGAGAGGCCATGCTCGAGAAGTCCATAGAAGGTGAGTGGAGAGTTGCTCAAATGGGCGGTGCTTACGAAAATCGTCCTACTAACTATAAACGCTTCGTCTGTCGTTCTGTCTGTGTCTGTCGTTCTGTATGTCTGTCACGAAATTCCCTAGCTCCTCGGGATCCACCTGGAGGGACCGGGTCAAGTGTGGGATGGGTGGGCAAGGTCTCACGAAGTACAAAACACACATCAGCTAAGCGGAGCCCCGCCCACAGAGGGCGTGGCGTGCGTCGAAATGAACTGTACCGAAGACCAAGATTTCGATTTCAGTGACAAAACAACCTCGAAACTGGGCCAAAAAGTGGGTAAAGGTGTGCATTGGTAAGTCACATCGAATTAGGGAGACCCACCCCGGTGGGCGGGGCGTTCTCAAAAAAGCAGTGCTTTATGAAAAATTTCATAACTCGGTTGAAAGCCTACAGAAAGCCTACAGAGCAGAAAACAATTGGTGTAGGGGAGCAATGTCTAAGGTGTTCCCAGCATACATGACGTGGGCGGAGTCCGCCCACAATGGGCGGAGCGCGCTCTGAAGTGTACAGCGTTTTCTACAAGTCCTCATAATTCGGGCCGGAGAAGTCTTAGTGAGCCGGAAAAAGGTGGATAGAGGGGTGGAGGAGTGGAGCCAGCTGCTTACGGTGGGCGAACACGGCCCAATGGGCGGAGTTATCAAGAAAATCTGCGTAACTGTGGCTCCAAGAATCTTGAAGAGCGGAAAAGTGAATTGAGACCGGGTAAAAAGTGAAATGAACTTCAACGGAAGGGAGGTCAACTGCTATTGGTGGGTGGGCACCAACGTGGGCGGAGTTTGCCCTAAACTTATAATTTAGTTCCGAGAAGTCCAGGAGACCGGGAAAAGAGTGGTCGAGTCCGACAACGCACGGGAGGACAACTGCTATTGGTGGGTGGAGCGTGCACCAAAGTGGGCGGAGTTTGCGACGAAAATTCATAACTCGGTTCCAAGAAGTCCCGGAGACCGGGAAAAAGGTGGATAGAGGTGGGTGAAGGAGTGGAGCCCAACTGCTATTGGTGGGCGGGGCATGTCCAAGTGGGCGGAGTTCTCCACAAAACTTTGTAACTCGGCTCCAAGAAGTCCTGGAGACCGGGAGAGAAGTGGGCGAAGGAAAGGAAGTGAATTTCTAATGGTGTGCGGAGGATACACCAAAAAAGCAGGATTCGCCGCCAAAATTATAAATCGGCTCAGAGATAGTTCAGAGATCGGGTAAAAAGTGGGGAGTTGGCGAGGAAGAAAAAGATAGGTGGGACATGCAAAGAAATAGGCGGAGTTTACCACGAGATTTATAAATCGGTCCAGAGGCAGTCCGAGACCGGGAAAAACGGAAAATGGTTGACGAAGGCGGACAATTGGTGGGCGAAGGAGGGAGGTCGCATATCGCCGCAGAACTGTGCTGCGTGCCGCGCCAACTGGAAAAAATAACTGAATAAAAAAATACTAGACAACCCATAGAGCAAAAGAAAATGTAAAGGAAAAGAGCGGGGCTTTAGGTGTTCCAATCACACTCGAAGTGAGCGGAGCCACCTCACAAGGGGCGGAGCGTCCCTTAGGTGCTCGAGGTCTTCTACAATTCCGATTCCGAAGCAGTCCGTAGACCGGGAAACAACTGCATAGTTGTTAGCGGGGAAGCAAAGGCCAAGTGCTATCGGTGAGTGGGGCATGCGCAGAAGTGGGCGGGGTTCCTAACGAAACTTATAATTCCTGTGGGGAGAAGCCCGAAGACAGAAAAATAGTGAATAAACGCTGGCGAAGGTCGGGAATCCAAGTGACACTGGTGGGCGGAGCGTCTCCTGAGGTGGGCGGAGCCTGAACCAGGACTTATAACTCAGAGGTACTGGCACCCACACATTTCACTTACCACTGGCCGAATGGCCCAATCTTCCCTAAATTAAGCTATGAACGCTTCAATAGGAAGTGATTTCTCTGCGTTTGGTATCAAAAGAGGCTTATTCGAGATAATGCTTGAGTCTCCTTACCGTGTGATTACTTTGGTCATATTAACGTACAACAGCAGCTCGCCCTCCACCCCCCCCCCCACCTCTAGTATCACTCCACACATCTGATTATACTTCAGGAGACGAGGAACTCATATTTTGCCGGAGGAATGCAGCTTAAGGGGCCCTACAAGTGGTAAAAGCATAACCACGCTTGACTTCACTGGTCGTAATATTGCGTAAGAATGCACAATAACGAATTCGCTACAGTAGTCGTGTGAAACGTTTACAAGGTTTTGTAGTGATTTTACATTGTTTAAGCGATGTGTAGTTAGCCATTCTCGTAGTGGTTCAATGCCGACAAGCCCGGTAATTTCTGTCATTGTTGGTTATTAGTCTAGCCACTGTTAGACGTGAAACTTCAGTTGTTATCTCCTTTGTGATTGTTTTTCTTTCGCTCATTGCATCATCGTTATCGTGGGAATCTGACGTCATCGTTTAAGCAAACCAGTCCGACAGTGAGCGAAGAGACGAGTGATGATACGTCATTGTTGTCAAGGACGGATAATAATGTGTGAGTCTCTCTGAACATCAGTTTTCCGCAAATTCTACCAGTTTTTACACATTTTTTTATTTTTTACATTTTCTTCTTTTTCCTTTTTCTTTTCACTTCAATGAACATTTGAAATATGAACGGTCTCATCCGCTAAGAGGGGGCATTGAGTACAGCTCGCATCAGCTTTTTTCCTATGTTATTTCTTCAGTTGTTTTGTGTAATGTATGTATTCTTGTACTAGGTGACATTAACGTCTACGAAAAGTAATATTCACTTAGTCAGCAGGTCAGGACTAAGCCTAGGAGGGGGAGGAAGTCCCCCGGCTCCCTTTCCCTTCTAAGGCTTAGCCTGACACGTCTACAAGATAATTGTGCTTCCATTGGTTTGAAATGCTCTAGATCGCTTTGCTCGCCCCTTACTGGATGAGACACAAAGTTTTTGTGAAATGGGGCGGGAGCCATCATTTGGTACTCCTACTGACTAGTATAGGGTGCCATCCGTTGCGTCGTGCCAACTGCCTGCCTGTCTACAGTGAACCCTTCAGTGCGGGCGGGACTCCGTGAGGCCAGGGGGGCGTGTAAAGCGCAATCTAGGGAAGTGGGAGGCAAAATGGCACAAGGCGTACGGCAATGCTCTGCTCGTCGATAGACCTGCACCGATAGACGCGTGTAAAGACCGTCTTTTCAAAAGTTTCGAATAAATCCCGTAGGTTTCCGAAGGAAAGATTAGTGTAGTGAAATTTTGCCTTTTTTCAACGCTAAAAATTTTGTACACAAAATATGTTTATTGTGCTAGTTTGTTAGTAGCGGTTATCGTCGCTACATTCAAGTCCGGGTTTCACTTTTTTTGGTTGTAGGGATTCTTTAACGTCGAGCCAAAGATCCGCCAAGAATCCGAATCGTTCTGATCGCGACTCGCCTTTTAGTCACACAGTAAGTGTATAATGGCTCCCCCACTTTCTTCACGATTTTAGGCGCAGCCGCGACGAGCGCGGATGATCGGCCGATGTCAGACTTTGCGATTGGAGCGATTTTGCACCAATTGCAGGAGCGACGGGAGATTTACACGCCGCCTACCAACGATAATTCGGCGCCATCAGTTCGTAAATCTCCCGTCGCTCGCACTGCGAGCGACGGGAGATTTACCCGAGCGGCGCCGTGTGTATCGGTATTCGGCGGGGTAAATCTCCCGTCGCTCGCATCGCTCAAGCGATCCGTCGCTCCTGCAATTGGTGCAAAATCGCTCCAATCGCAAAGTCTGACATCGGCCATTCGATAGTGCCCGCGAACTGTGCGGGTAAATTTGGAAACGCTCCACCACCATAGTTCTTGGACACTGTGGGCTCGTCCGCGCTCGCCGCGGTCGCGCTCTCCAAATAGTGAACGAAAGCTGGGGAAGCCGTGTATAATACATTTAATGGGCGCTCATCCAGTAAGGGGGGCATCAAGTGGCTGCCCTCACCCCCCACCCCCTAGACTGCCTACACTCCCCCTGGCGCACAGGTTTCTCGAAGTACGGGACCCCGTGAGCCAGGGGGAGTGAAGGCCAGTTCAGGGGGTGGGGGTGAGGGCAGCCATTGACGTTGCATCACAATGCCCCCCCCCCCTTACTATGAGCGCATTTAATTGTTCCATGCATTCATATGGTCCTGGACATACTATTGAATGAAGTGAGAACTTCAGCGCTTACATTTTTTAGACTTGCTTTTCATATCCATGTTTTACTAATGTTTTCAGAGTGCCAACGATCTGAAACTCCAGTCTCTTGAATCCGCTACATCGACGCTTAATCGGTTCGTTGTTATTACTTTTCTTGAAGTCCACGCATTGGCGCACTATTTTGATCTTCCACCCGTAAGACAATCTCTTTATAACTGGACCAACTGTAAAGAACGCACACCGCCATAGGAAGCGGAAATTGGGAAGGGTCTACGCGTGCAACCGTTGGGCCCGCGGCTGCTAGACAGGTGCAAATTAGGTGGGGTCTCTCATCTGTTAACGCCACTTTTTCGCAATCTTAATTTGCCTCTAAAGCTGGAGCTCGTCCTTCGCGTTTATTCAGAAGCTGTTTCGTGACTGCTTTTTTTTTACCGAATTAGGCACGTATGGACCAGGTTCTGCTGTACTTACTGGCAGCTCTTCAGGTCTTCAGCTGAATCCGTATCCTCCACGCAACATTCATTGCGTGACGATTCATCTGCAACTTGGAGGAGTTCTCTAAGACGGGTGGGGTATCAGTTTAATAGCGTCAGGGTTAATTTCAAAAATGTCTTAACTCATTGAAGTTGTGGTGGCTTCCCTTGTGACAGACTTTTTTTCGCTTATCGTAGTTTGTGGTTTGATTGAATTTGTATGTATTTGAATTATAGATCGTGAGCGTTTTAAATCTCGCACAGAGAGAAAAGAGTCCCGCTGAGAAACTAAAAGAGCAGCAACTCCGAGAAGCTGGCATGTTTCTCACCAGACCGGAAATATGTCGACTACCTCTCAAAAGTACTTCTTTGAAAGCGTTTTTTTCACTTTTCCAACGCTAGTTTTGTTAACCCTTTTTTAATTTCAGGTATGCCAAGCTTTTGCCTATCGCTTAGCGGCTGCGGTTTCCTTGGATCATATCACTTTGGTGCTGTGAATTGTATGCTGAAGAACGGACATGTAAGATAGGTTACGCTAAGAACATTCGCAAAGCATAAACTCAACTTCCTGCTTGTTTCTAAGGATATTTTATACCAAATATGGTTATTTTATTTTATAGCACATAATCTCTCGACTAGAAAGAGTGAGTGGAGCTTCTGCTGGTAGCTTGGTAGCATCTCTTCTGCTGCTTAATCCTGAAAAGTAAGCAATTTGTCTTCGAGTCATAATTATTCACTTTAGACTTAATGAGCTGCTCGATTTCAGGCTTGGACTGGCGCTCCAAGTACTGTATAAATTAGGAGATGAACTCAATACTTTGCGGTTTGGAGCACTCACTCCAGGCTATTACTTGAATGAAAGGTTGATTAAGGTAATTATCTTGTCAAATGCCTACCGGTCGGTAATAGTTGTTATGCAAGGAGTAAATATCATGCTTTTGTAATAATCGTAATGCTAGAACGTTCCAGATAGTCGACGATTTTCTACCGCATGACATATCGCCAGCACAAGGAAGATTATACGTGTCGCTCACTCTAAGAAAAGTATGCCACTTGATTCGTCTTAGTGTTTCTTTTTTATATTTTCTTGTATCTAACTGAAGCTGTTTAGGAAAAGACCAATAAACTTGTTTGCAATTTTTCAAGTAGGGCTCACTTAATACACTGTTTAATGGCAAGTTGTTATATACCAATGTACTCGATGGGTTATGGCGCTGAAGCACCTGTAATTGATGGCCATGTAAGTTTTTAACACTAAGAAATGTATTGTTTTAGTGTTTCCCGAAGGCACTAGTGTAAACGAGGTATTGATCTTGACGTTGCAAAGCGCCTCTTCTTCCCATAAGGCCGATGTCAGACTTGCGAATGCGAAACATAGTTCGTTGCCAGAATCTCGGGTCCACTGATGATTCGCTGCGGGAACCTCGGGTCCACTGATGATCAGCGGTGGACCTGAGGTTCCCGCAGCGGAAAATGTTTCGCGCTGCGAAACGCGAAAACTCGCTTTCTGTTCTAGTGAACCGCACTCTACATCTCTTTTCCTCAGTAAAACTTCTATCCACCTTAATTTGCGTTTCACTGCCATTTCGAATTGTTGTGCGAGCGTGCGTAGTTTTTATGATGAAGAAGTCTGGAAATTTAGGCTTACATAGACGGTGGATATACAAACAATTTACCCGATTTCGAAGATATCCGGACAATAACTATCTCACCATTCTCTGGTAATGCCGAAATTTCACCAACGGATGAAGAGAATTTCTTCGATTGGAAAATGACAGTGTGCAACCAAACGATGAATGTAAGTAATATTCAACAATTTGTTCAGGGAAACGAACGTAAGGAGACTGACAAGGAATGGTCATTTGGTCGGTCCGGCCATTTGTAATGAGGTGTAGTCCGATGCACGCGTCTTGCGACGCTGAGCTCAAATCCGTTTTCGGTTTTTGCCGAACGATTCTCTGAACGAAGTTACGAGGGATTCTTCTCACTGTGGCTATCTCACTGTGGCGCCCTCTACATCCCCCTATCCCACTTGGCTCGCGTAAAAACAGAACGAACGAACAGAACGATAACAAAATAACGCAGTATAGCGCTTTCTGGGCTCGTATGAGCAACCTTGAAAGAACCGCGAAATGCTCCGCGATTCTTCTTATGTGTGATAAGTGGGATGGGGGGGGGGGTGTAGAGGTCGCCACAGTGAGATAGCCGCAGTGAGAAGAATCCCTCATAACTTCGTTCAGAGAATCGTTCGGCAAAAACCGAAAACGGATTTGAGCTCAGCGTCGCAAGACGCGTGCATCAAACTACACCTCATTACAAACGGCCGGACCGACCAATTGACCATTCCTTGTGAGTAGTATTGGGTGGGAGCAATTAAGAGGTGCGGTACTTTTAGCTTACTGTTACACCAATAAATCTTGAAACTAATTCAGGTGAATCTGCAAAACATTGTCCGAGGAGCACAGGCATTGTTTCCACCAGCACGTCCTGTTCTAGAAAGTTACTACGAAGCGGGTTTCAAAGATGGCTTTCAGGTTCCTTATCAAGCATGACATTATTGAGCGGAACAGTGGTACTGCTGTCTAAGTCATTTTTTGTGGTTTTATAGATACGTTTCTCTGTTATATGTCTCTTTGCATCACTTTCTACGACATTAGTCTCGCTAACACGGTTTACAAGGCAACTATCGTTTTTTCTCGTGATTGCCAAGATTCACTAACTCTTTTCAAAGCATTAGTAGTAATTTATTGCCTTGTGTTGTGAAATTCTTTGCCTCTAGGTCGGCATTCATGCTAGGTTATTTTTTTCTGAGAACTGTTCAAGTTATGGACCATGATCGGTGTCAAAAACTCCTCGCATTCTAGTCACCCGGCTTATATTACCTCGTTTACAGTTTTCTCAATGTGTTAATGAATTACAAGCTCAAAGGTAATGACTGAGCGACATATCTGTCTGCGGTATGGGAATGCTATGAAAAAGGCAATGTGCGTTTTGTTGGCATGATCGTGGAGCATCGTTTCGAAGACATACCCTCGCCTTCAAATGACCAGAAATTGTGCAATTGCAGAAATGACGTGGCATTGGCACACGTGGCTAAATTCTCGATGAAAAGGTGACGTCACGTGTGCTCAAATGTTCTTGAATCGATGCCACGTCAATTTCTGCAACTGCACAATTTCTGGTCATTTGAAGGCGAGGGTACATGTACGGGCACATTCATAGTCGGTCCTCCGATCGTAACGATCGCACAGCATTAGATACTACGAATCGATCGTCCAATCCGCGGACACGCTAATGTTCGATAATCCAGTGCTAGTGGCGCATGCTAGTTCGGTCGTCCGACAGCAACGATCGTAACGATCGCACAGCAGTTAGATATGTATTGATCGTCGAATACTCAGGCAATTCTAACGATCGCCACGCATCGAATGCTGTGCGACAGTCACGATCGTTGCTGTTGGACGGCTGATTATGCGTGCGCCCTGTGCAACTGTTACGATCGTTACAGTCAGACGACCGACTATAAATGCACCCGATGCACGCAATTTGTTGTGTATTATACGCAGAACACGCAATAGCCAAGACATTGCGTTTTTTTGCGACAACCCAAACGCAAACTGTACAGTATACTCATGGGAGTATGGAGGGATTGCGTAGAAAGTCTTGCGTGTCGGTTGTTTGATCGCTTTGTCCTTACATTTGAGACTCATTTTGTTTCTAGCTGACTCAGGAGCTACTAAAAATGCCTCGTATAATTAATTGCCATGATTCCTTTTTACTCAAAGCACAGGTAAATGTATAGCGTTTTGTCACTTCGCTTGTTTTAAAACCTCTTTGTGTACGTTATCGTCAATAATAAATGTTTTTCGTCACATACGTTGCACTACAAATAGCGTTTACTTTTGGCTGGGGCAATCCCTTTCGCCCAAATGGACTTGGTCGTCGGTCGGCAACGAAAAACGGCAAATCTGAGTAGAAATAAAACATTTATTCAAACGAACTTCTACAACAACTAAAAGTCGTTAAATATTGGCGACAAAAGCACAACAAAATATTTACTTTGACATTTGAACCAAAGTGTGGCTGAGCTTGTTTTCCAACAAATGCTTAGCACGGCTCCAAATTAATAAGGATTATTAATTCTTTGCGCTATCCAGGTTCATCGGCAGAGTTGCAGTTAAAAATGCCGTTGTTTCAAAGATCACAAATGGGAACTAACAGTATATTAAGTACAAAATAGATCTAATCACTTATGCTGCAGTAACCGGAAAAGGGCAAGAAAAAATGGACATACAATAAATAAAAGGAACAAATAAAATCAAGAGGTGCCCAAATGAAGTAATTCATGCTATCATGATGGGTACACGTGACTAACCATAAGTGGAATTGATAGACTGCTCACAATTCCGTTTTTCCTGTTGCTTTCGACTTGTAGTAGTTGAAAGTATTGGTAAGGGATAGACTTAACTGGTGGAATGCTTCATGGCCGTACGCGTAGACCAGACGACAGAATGAAAGCGGTTCACCGTGTGAAAGGGCACCAGTTGCAGCCCAGAGACCGGAAACCGGCACGAGACCACGTCCTACAAAACGAAACATTTAACTGCTCAAAATTGATGACTACTGTAAACGGAACTTGATGACTACTAAAAAAAGCAAAAGGCCATTCATAAGGGCCAGAACAGGGTGTAACTATTACACGTGGAGTGCGAAGGCGTATTTTTTCCGTAATTTCGCACAAGGTAAGCCTACCTAGTGACAGTGCTGCTGTACCTACTCTTTGAACTGTTTCAATCAGCTGAAGGTAATTTTTAAAAATGTACATGTCACAACGCATGTGCATTTAACACTCGCAATGTGGTCTACCGACATTGCCAATTTTGAAATGCTTTTAGCACTTTTACTCACAGATCACCTGTATTGGCTGTACCGTGGTTAACAGCTGATAAAATACAATAATAGAAGAAAGGAAGGGCGGGACCACACAAAATGAATGAGTTGTTTTCGCAATGTATACGTGAAGAGATGCGCTAAGGTTTATTACCTAATTATAACTGTACTGAATTATCCATCAGACACGACCTATGACCTTGCGGCACTTCATCGCGGCGCGTGGGCTTTGCACCTACACGGATTCGAAGTGCTACACAAAGTCTGGATGCGTCCTAATAATGAAATGCGCACCGATATTAGTCTTTATGGACTAGTGTAAAGTTTCGTGGTTGCTTATTGCAATAATGCTGATAAATCAGGCTAAGCTCGAAGTGAAAAAGAGGTTGATGACGGAAAAAAGCTTACTCAATAAAGGAAGAGAAAAGAACGTACCATAGCAAACGACGTACGTGTCTGTTCCGAAAGCGTAAATATGTGACTCAAATTGTCCGTGACGGAAATTGCCTCCTAAATTTGTTAATCACTTAGTTAGCTTATAAGGCAGAACAAAGGCTCCAAGACAATGTCATGATTATTATTTATCAAATCGCTAGAATCATGCTATTTAAGGAAAAAAACACTTCGAAACATACCTTCACTGAAGGTTTCCTTGTTTGGTAGGGGGCCCACATCAGAAACCCGGCCCACGGTTCCAGTCAATACCGTACAAGTGCTGTTCGACCAATGCATGCCTTCAAAAAAATCTCATGAAAAAATAATAAAAAAGTGGAAAATGCTTTTGGACATACCGATTCTTCCCGTTACCGAGTAAGGTGTACCGAAGACAGCAATGAATTCAGTAATAGATGCATGAAGAAACATCGCCCTTATTGGCATATGACCCAAGTTCAAGGCTAGCTAAATAAAAAGAATCATTAGTTTACAAGAAAATGAACACAGTCAACAAATGAAACAGGATATGTAAAACCAAGTACCCACCCACTGAGTGTCGGCAGCGATGAATGGACCGTACTTGCTACGCAATTCGGTTGTAAGACGACTCAGAGCAGACGCCACATTGTTTGCTCCTAGAATCTAATTTCTAGAAATGCAGCTTAGGTTTTCAAAAACGACAGCTGGGTTACTATTATAACTTAGTGAAGAATCCACGAATCGCTTTCACTGAAGTTTTTCTCAATGGTAGAATTCTAGTTGGCCAGTGAAGAGCCTACGTGGCTCTACTCAAGGTCTACTCTACTCAAACCGTAACATCAAGAAGCGAGCGAAATGGAGGGTGGGGCATATAAAAACATCGAGGGAGTAGCGAAGAAGACAAAGATCTCTTCGATTCTGCAGTCCTTCATGCCTTAATGTACGCCTCAGAGAACTGAACTTATTGTTAGCGCAGGCAAAAGGAGCATGCGGTAAGCGTCAACGCTCTGCAGATCATTTAATCGAGTAAGAAAGGATGGTAGCCTTGGTTAACCTAGGCGAGAATCAACTAATGATGATGACTCCAA